CCTTTCACAAATTAGGATGAGGAGAAGATGCTTTGATTCACTGTGTGATTTACTTAGACTACATGGTCAACTCACACCAACCCTCCATTTGAATGTTGAGGAGCAAGTTGCAATGTTCCTTCACACCATTGGTCACAATGTTCGGAATAGTACAATCCATATTAGATTTGGCCGACCCTAGGAGACCGTTAGCCGATACTTTCATAAAGTACTTCACACTGTGCTGAAGTTGTATCCTCTATTGGTTGCACAACCTACAGGAGATCATGTACCGCTAGAAATCAGATATGATGCCCAATTCTTGCCATACTTCAAGGTATGCCTAATAATATGTATTGCTAACAATTGAACATATAAATTTAATCCATTGCCCATATGACACGGGTTTAGTTGAAATGTAGGATTGCATAGGTGCTATTGATGGAACTCAGATTCCTTGCAAGGTGCCTATTGAAGAGCAGGCTAGACTTCGTGGTAGGAAAGGGAAAACCACCCAAAATGTGATGGCCATAGTCACATTCGACTTGAAATTTACATATGTATTGGYTGGTTGGGAAGGGTCAGCTACTGATGCAACAGTCCTGTATGATTCCCTACGGAGGGAATATAGCCTTAGCATACCTGAAGGTAATGTACAAAAATTTTTCTATCTTCATCCTACCTCTACATCAATGGGGTCATTGGTGTGAACTATTTTTTTTTTTTATTATTTACTTCCATGTGAACATAGGAAAGTACTATCTTGTAGATGTGGGTTATAGAAATATGCCGAGATTCTTAGCTCCTTATCGAAACACACAGTACCACCTTAATGAGATCCAAGGACGGTTGCCTGAATCCGCAAAAGAAATCTTCAACCATAGGCATTCCGCATTGAAAAATGCAGTGGAGCGCGCATTTGGTGTATTAAAGAAGCGCTGTGCCATCCTAGACTCCACCCAACACTTTGATTTCCCTACATAGGTTAAGATTTTAATTGCATGTTCTGTCCTTCATAATCACATAATGGGCATTGATCCAAACGATGCAGTAACTCGACAAGGTATTCGGGATACAGATGCATGCAACTCCAATGCCAGTAGGAGTGAGCCTATGGATGATGCACCAATTGAGGACAACTTAACACAACGACTCCAAAGAAATGAACTTGCAAGGTGGACCTCATTTAGAGATGAGCTCAGTTCGGAGATGCTTCAGGATTGGCAGAGACTCCGACTAGGAGTCTGATGGGGTGGATTGTTATGACACCAGTGGTGTTGACTTCATATATGCTTTTATTATTGATGAACCATTTGTATCACATTGAGAATAGTTTGATTTCGTTTAATGTTGTTATTATTAACAACGTTCAATTTCATTATTGCTATATAAGCATACATTTTATTTAGTGGTAGTAAATCTGAATTAGATGCTAGTATGTTGAATGTTGGCATGCGCTCTTTTATTCAAATTTAAGTGTGTTTTAACTTTCATTATTTAGTTGTGTATGAATCCATTTAATTCATGATATGAGACTGGTTATTAGGAATGGTGTCAGGAAAAGATTCACAAGTGTCGGCTAGTGGTCACTCAGGAGACCGGCAAAAGGGGAAGTCCCTGTCTATGTCACATCCAGCTACACCTAAGTTTGAGCGTAGTAGGCAGATTAGATGGAATGATTCAATGGACTGATCATTGATAGAATTATTGGCAGAGCAGGTTGCCTTAGGCAACAAGATCGACAAAGGGTTTAAGACATCTGCATACACATATGTTTGTAAAGAGATGATGAGACGATATGGTGTTGACATGAAAACCTCAAACATAAGGAATAGGATGCGCACGTTGAAGCCAATTTATATAGGGGCAAAAAAACTGCTTGGTACTTCTGGGTTTGGATGGAATGATGCAAGAAACCAAATACAAGCAGACCAACAAGTTTGGGAGGAATACCTACAGGTAAACCCAATATAACTTAAATGTTGTGACCTCTAGCAGTTGTGTTAGCACAATAAAAACCTTGTTTGTTTAATGCAGGCAAATCCACTTGCACATATTGTGAAATGACGGATCATGGAGATGTATGATGAAATGCAAGTAGTACTAAGTAATGATCAACCTGCTGGGGATTATGCAACAACAGGTCCTAAGATACAGGATGACATGGACCTAGGGGATGATGACTATGGTGAGGGTGCCTGTGAAGATGTTGATGATGATGCATCAACACCTCTAGGAAACACTGTTGTTAGTGATGATTATGGGACACAATCCCATAGTACTATCCCTTGACTTGTTGCTTCCTCAGGTATTTGGAAGAGATCATACAGTATGAAGAAGAAACCACATGAACATTTCATCGAGGCAATTAATAGGTTGAATCATACCATCAAAGAGATGACAACTGCCTTCACAATTCAAACTAAGCAAGATATGGTTAATATGTTGTATTGAGAAGTTATCGACTTACGCTTAGAGGGGTTTGATATTCAAGTCCTAAATGCAGTATTTGGATACCTAGTGGAAAATGAGAAGGAAGCAAGGATGTTCGTTGCTAGGGAGAAGATCCTATGAGCCCAGATGGTATACACAATCTTAACAAAGTTGCCTGGATTTAGAAGGATGCTTTAGCCTACTATGAATAGATTTGGTGGTTAGGTTAGGAATGCCTTACCCTTGTCAGGTAAACTAAACAAAGTCACTTTCTTTTAGATTCTTTGGATCCTTGAGAGCATCATGCAAAGGGCACATGCACAAACTTGGTACTGAGTTCATGCTTACTATTTTGACAGATCGCTCTACAACTTGTTTGAAAAGGAGTAGCAAATGAACCATCTACAGTTGTTGGGGTCCAGGTCATTGGACCTGATGAAAACAAAGAGAAGTCTGCTGAAAAGTTGAATGAAACTGTGGAAGAGGAGATACAGATAACTGCTGAACCAGAGGAAGGTAAAATTCAAGAGAAGCCTAGCAAGAAATCTATAGAAGCTGATCAAATACAGATGAATAATCCAATAGTTGAAACTCAAAATTTTGTCAATTCTTCTTCTGAAAGACTCAAAATTTTGTCAATTCTTTCCTTTTTTTTTTCTACTAGAATATGGTTGAATGATTTGCACATTCAAAAAAAAAAAAAAAAAAGAAGAAAAGAAAACGATTGACTTCATAGTAACTAACACTGTTGTCTGGTTTTGTACCTACTCATTAGCTATTATAAGTAAAGTCAGATGCTGTTGGCCAGTTTGGTACCATCCTATGATTGGTTCCACTGATCACATCTTTGACTACATTTGTACATTCATTTCTTTGGGTGAGTGGTGGATCAAACTTCAAAGTCAATTTGTTTACATTACAGAGATTGCAGACCTGACTTAACCCTAAACCCTAAACCCTAAATCAATTTGTTTACATTAGCTATTATAAGTAAAGTCAGATGCTGTTGGCCAGTTTGGTACCATCTTATGACTGGTTCCACTGATCACATCTTTGACTACATTCGTACATTCATTTCTTTGGGTGAGTGGTGGATCAAACTTCAAAGTCAATTTGTTTACATTACAGAGGATTGCAGACCTGACTTCAAACCATTGCACACAGAATTTTTGTCAGGAGAGTTGAAGAGCAGTTCATGGCAAGAGTACACATGGCTTCAATCACCTCCCTCTCTGAGATTCTCTCCAAAGCTTAAGACCATTGATAACAAATTCCAAAAACAGGGTGGTGCATCGATTCTACCAGGAGAAAATGGAACTATTCCATCAGGGGTCACTTCCAATTCATAGAAAAGACATTTCAGGAGCCAACCATTCAAGGAATTAACAAAACCCTTCTGTTCACTGATCCACTTGGAAAAATTTGAAGTCCAGTTTAGAAGCTCTTGTTGGAACTGTATTGTGGCTGCAAGATGAGCAGAGCTAAGCTTTCTGTTGGATGCAATAGCATCTAAATTTTTGGCCTCTGCTATGGCGTGTTCAAAGCTCCCCTGAAACCAGGCCTCCTATGAGCACCATGGTGAAGATGTTGGAGGGATGCACCTGTGATCTGCTTATCCCACGTGGGTAGGGGCTATGAAATATTGTAGTCCAAATTCAAATGTCCTATGAACCGTTGGAAATAAGATACTCCAGTCCAAATTAACGCAAGAGATATCCATGTAAAATTTACACCGATGTGTATTCCAAACACCAACAAAAATTTCATCAAATTTCACGCATCGACAACCAAACACAATTGGAGTAAATATTTTATTTCAACCGGTTCCAATTTACATGTATCACCGAACCGGTTTACTATCTCAGCCTTATGGCTTAATGGCTGAATGGCATATTGGTTTGATTACTATCTCAGCATACACTTAATACTAGGGGTGATTATTTCAGCTTGGCCCGGCCCAGCCCAGCCCAGGCCTGGGCCCACATCAAGTCTGCAAATTTTAGGGCCAGGCTTGAACTTAATACTTCAGGCCCTGCCCGGGCCTGTTCCAACCTGCATATATTTAAACTTACATATTTTGTGTATAATATATATATATATGTATACATGTTATTTTATATTATATTATATATTTTATATATAAATATTATAATATGATATGTATAATTTATACTATATTTAATATTTTATATTATATAATATATAAAATAAGTCTATATGCATGTTATGTCATTTAATATAAATATTATAGATATATAATGTTTTATACACGAGTAATATTGGCCCAGCCTGGCCCGAACCTGTATAAACCTAGACTAAGGCTTATGTTTTATCATAAGTACAAAGCCCGGCCCATGATCATAGATAGTCCCTCGTAAAACGGCTGTGCCCCTAATATTTGATATTTCACAAAGCAATAGTTTATCCACTTGCAGCTGTTATCAAACGGCTCAGACTTGCTTCATTAAAATCTCCCTTTAATTCATCACATATTTTAGTTATGTGCTTGGCGGTTAATTTTGGTTCGTTTTTTGGCTGTTGGGTTTTCTTGTGCTACACAGATAGGTCTAATGCAGATTTCTGAATTTCGCTCAGATTTATAGACATTTAAAATGTCAAAAACCTCCATTCCGTGCATCAAATACTCGCCCATAATTTGGCATCAATTCCGAATAGACACCTACTCAACTCTACCTTGAACTGTCATTCTCCCTTTTCTTTTCCCCTAAAATTTTGTAAAAAACTAGGGGGTACCAGGCTCCTTTGTTTCAGATGTCGAACTCAATTTTAGAGGAAAGGCCTGAAAATCTAGAGAGCCCATGTCGTTGAATAGATTGAAAGAGACTCTCAGGCCTTGCTCCAACTTCTCTTCCACCTCTTCTTACAGGGAATCCTCAATTTCCAAAGACTGTGAACAAAAAACAACCCTTCAGAGAAAACCACCAAAGTCCTCTCTCTTTCAGCAGCTCCAACGTCTACAAGACCCTCTCGATTTGAAGAGCATTCAACCCAATTCACAACAGAAACAAGAACATAAACAAGAAGAAAAAGTAGCAGCCGCTGCAGCAGTATCGGAAAATGAAGAAGATGGAGAGGCGGAAGATAGCTTCCCTAGTCATCGTCATCGATACCGCACTGAACCTATCTCTGCCCTCTTCCAATTTAACAGTACAGGACCATATGAACCCTTGATCCTCTCTTCACCTGGTGAAAATCCGACAGTACAGGTATGTCTCCAATACCTCCCCTCCCCCCGACACGCAATAAAAAAAAATTATTTTTGTTACCTGGGTTAATATTTCTGCATATTTCAACCATATTTGTTGGCAATGTAAAGACAAGCGGCCTAATATGGTTTCTCGGTTTCCAGGACATGAGATATAGTCGGCATTTGTAATAGTTTCTACCTTAATTGATTTTTTTTTGGTAATTTGCCATAATTGGTGAATCTTATTAATAGTAGGTTGTAAAGCATGGTTATCTATATGCAGAGAGTTTATCCTATCAACTGCATATGCTGCATGATAGATCTTGTTTTACGGAGCTTTATTGGCTCAAATTATATATCAACTACTGGTAGATGGGCTGCATTTATATGTGATTTTTTATCACTTTTTAGGGAAAAAATTGACACAACTTATGGTCTTACGGATGTGCTTTGAAGAACATGAAGAAATTAGATGGAGATAAATGGGCTGTTTCTGGAGAAAGTACAGGTTATTTGTTCAATGGTATTATCACTGAAATGGCATTGGGATATTCAGTATGTGCCTATTTTTGTGGGCTTCATGGATGGCATGTGATGTTGCTTTTACCCTGTGAAAAGGTCATTTAAGTTACTTAGGCTCAGTTTGGAAAGAGTGCAAATACAAGGTTTAGAAATATCATATACAATTTTGTACTGAACATATTTGCATTTGCACTCTTCCCAAACTTAGCCTTTGGGATATTCAGTATGTGCCTATTTTTGTGGGCTTCATGGATGGCATGTGATGTTGCCTTTACCCTGTGAAAGGTCATTTAAGTTACTTAGGCTCAGTTTGGAAAGAGTGCAAATACAAGGTTTAGAAATATCATATACAATTTTGTACTGAACATATTTGCATTTGCACTCTTCCCAAACTTAGCCTTAGATGCAATAATTATCCTTAGCCTTTTAAGCTATGGTAATACACTTACTACTGAAAGTGCACGCTTAAAGACACAGAGCAAAACTACTTCAGTGATAGATTCTTCCTTCATCTCTGTATGAAGTTTCTCCATGGCATATTGTTTCATGATACAGAATCCTTAACATTGCATTTGCCCTATTTAGAAGATTCATTCATGGGCATACAACTATATTGCCTGTAACAGCATTATCCATAGTCATACTGCTCAGTTTCTTCTTGACCTTTGTTCAGCCCAGTGGTTGCTAAAATATCAGAACTTTCCCATGGCAAGAGGCTGATATTATGTATTTCTCTAATTTCATGAAGCAAGTATCTCTTGCTAATAGAAAAACAGAGAAGTAATTCCATTCTCTAATGACATTCAGTCATTGCCTGCAAGGAGATCTGTACATCTTTAATTCGGAATCCAAATAAAGAGAGTAAAAGAGAAATTCGATGATGGAATGTGGCAATTCACACTATCCCAACAAAACTTGATCGATTTTATATTGCCTAACTTTTAGGCTGTCATTTATTATATGGAACACTGTTATCTCCTACCCATTTGATGTTCTTCATATTGTGAATGTTTTCATGTGATGTAGTTTTCAATCACAACAATAATGTGGTGCTACTTGTTTGGAAATTGTTTTTGTAAGGATTGGTGATTATATCTTTTCAGAATTTGTTAATGAGAAATACCTATCATGTTGTAGGTTCCTTCTTCAATCAACTGTAGGCTCCTTGAACATCAACGAGAAGGAGTGAAATTCCTATACACTCTATACAAGAACAACCATGGGGGTGTTCTTGGAGATGACATGTGAGGGTTTTTTCTGTCTCTTATATCATATTCCAATAGCTCCTGTTTTGTTGAACCATGTGAATCTTATAATTGGTGAAAATGATAAATCATTTTCTAATTTCTAAGATATATATGGAGTAACAAGGTTAGGTTGCTCCATCAGTTTTTGAATTATTTTTTTTTAAACATATCAAGCACTATCTACAATACCTTCTACTTTATCATATGATATACACTGGCAATTTGTATACTTTTGTGTGCAGATGCTTTTTCCTTATCTCTTTAGAAATAGAAACATAAGCTTATACTAAAATAAATAAAAACCCTACCTTCTGCTTTAACTATACATGCCAAGAAGAATTATTGTGTTGCTATACATATTCACAAAAGGATTTTTAGTTATTTTCCACTTAAAACATCAATGATATGCAACTGAAGTTCAAGCGAGTATTTTAAGTGACCTAGGACGTATGGATGCAATCTATTACATTAGAGCACTCTCCAAGAGTGGAGAGACTGAAAACAACATTTTATTGAAGTTCCTAATACATGACCTCCACCTCTAGTGCCAGGATTATCTATATCCAACAAGGCTATATGGAGGTCATTTTGTTTTTTTCTCTGACTCTTCATCTGGGACTATTAACACATATATTTATTTTTCATTTTAATGCTACATCTCCATCACTTTTCAAAGTCTAACTATTTATTTCCCTTTTTGACTGCAGGGGGCTAGGGAAGACAATCCAGACTATTGCCTTCCTGGCTGCTGTACTTGAAAACAATGAAGATCATGGTGATGCTAAGATGTTCAAGAGGGACCAGGTAGGAAAGAGAGGCCCTGTACTGATTGTTTGCCCCACTTCTGTCATTCACAACTGGGAGAGTGAATTCTCTAAGTGGGGAAGCTTTAGTGTTGCTGTTTATCATGGTCCAAATCGTGATCTGATTCTTGAGAAGCTTGAGGCACATGGGATTAAAATTATTATAACCAGTTTTGATACCTTCAGAATTCATGGCACAGTCCTATCAGATGTTCGATGGGAGATTGTAATTGTTGATGAAGCACATCGATTAAAGAATGAAAAATCAAAACTATATAGAGCTTGTTTAGGAATTAGAACTAATAAACGCTTTGGTCTTACTGGGACTATAGTGCAGAATAAAATTTTGGAGCTGTTTAATCTGTTTGATTGGGTTGCACCTGGATCTCTAGGGACACGAGAACATTTTCGGGACTTCTATGATGAACCACTCAAGCATGGCCAGAGGTTGAGTGCTCCTGATAGATTTGTCCAGGTGGCTGATCAGCGTAAGCAGCACCTAGTATCAGTTCTTCGTAAGTATCTTTTGAGAAGGATCAAGGAAGAGACCATTGGGCATCTAATGATGGGGAAAGAAGACAATGTTGTTTTCTGTGCCATGAGTGGGTTGCAAAAGCGTGTGTACAGAAGGATATTAGAACTTCCAGATATCCAATGCCTGATAAATAAAGACCGTCCTTGCAGCTGTGGAAGCCCTTTAACCCAGGTGGAGTGTTGCCATAGGGTTGTTCCAAATGGAATCATCTGGCGCTATCTGCATAAAGACAACCCTGAAGGTTGTGATTCATGCCCCTTCTGCCTTGTTCTTCCTTGCCTTATCAAGCTTCAACAGGTATGTTAATGACAACAATAGTATTACAGTAACATTGGTAGTAATGATAGTTCAACAACAACAAGGAAATAGGTTTCCTAATTGGGTCAAGTAGGGGGGTTCTCTAAATGATCTGCCCTTTTATGCTATGTGGATCAATGATATGACCTTCTGAGCTACCCTGGGCATGGGACCCTTTGAGCTGGTCACTTGTTCAATCCTCCGGTCTAACTCAACTATACCCCATCTTGAGATTTAGTATTTTTCCCCCAATAACATTGGTCGTTAAAAGTTTCAAAGTTTTAATACAAAACTTTCCTTAGCAGAAAGGTTATTTTAAATGTGGAAATGGCTTTTAGGCTCAATTTTCACCCATTATGGAGATAGACAGAAGGAACATGTGGGCCCCTTTGGATCCCCAAATTTACTTCCCACAGGAAAGATATGTTGGTTGTTGAACATTCTTCACTAAGTGACCTGACTAGCAAACCCCACTGCCTAATAGTAATGAAAATCATATTCTTTACCACCATTTGGGTGATTTAGGGTGTAAGGAACTCCACGATCTTCTGTCAGAGGTCTTCACCTACTATAGGTAGTAGGTACAATCTGATCTTGAATTTCTGTACAAAAGGAATTTAGGGAAACCCCTTGTGCCTTATTTTGAATCCTTGTACATGGCTTATAGATTTACCTTTATCATGATCTTTATTTATTTATTTATTTGTAAAGCATGGCTCCAAACGTATAGCAGCTAGTTGTACAAGAGTATATTTGTTCACACTTTTTGATTCGTAATACAATTAGACATTACCTTTATTTTAAATGTTGTTCACCTTGTCAAGATGTCTCTCAGATAAGCAATCACCTGGAGCTGATTAAGCCTAATCCCAAGGATGACATGGAGAAACAAAGGAAAGATGCAGAGTTTGCCTCTGCTGTCTTTGGTGTTGATATTGATTTGGTTGGAGGAAATGCTCAGACTGAGAATTTCATGGGCCTTAGTGACGTTGAACATTGTGGAAAAATGCGAGCATTAGAAAGGTTAATGTTGTCATGGGTCTCACAAGGTGACAAGATTCTTCTATTCAGCTACTCTGTCAGGTGATGCTCCACAGATGTACTTCATCGGTCTCTATGAATGCATCTATTACATCTGTACCTTCTAATTCAATCTTTGTTGTGTTTTATCATCAGTCACTCTTATATCCTAATAGTTCATATCTAGCAGTTTGCCAACTCCTGTTTCTTGTTTGTGGTTCTTGTGATTTTGTAATTCTCATCAGCTTTTGGCTTTTGAAATTGGAGGTGATAAAGAAGAAAGAAAAATAGATATATAGTGAACTAAAATAGCTCTTCAACAATAGTTAATGAGGGTAATAATTAGAATAAGGATGCACAACCAATTATGGAAGGAAAGCTGAGTAAACCTATTCCCTTTCCGGTTATATATGTTTATGCTTCAAGGCCTGCATTTTTGGAGCACCATAGAAGTAATAATTAATTAATGAAGTGGTGTTTTTTTAGGATATGATGTGTAAGTACCAGCAAGTTTACATAGAGATGTTTATGACCTGAAATCCTTAGGATATCACGGCTACATTTTCTGGAGATGCCAACAGCCAGTAACAAAATAGCTGTTTCTAGGTTTAGTTTAGAAATCAAGGGAAATTGGTATCTGAAAATTTTGAAAAGGATTTCCTGAGCATGCATATTCAATGAAATTTGCACATTGTTACTCTAAAGATGCAAAAACTTGGAAGAGATTAAAGATCACATATACTTTCATAGGATTTGAGGTATTGCAGTTGAAACTCTGAGAAAGAGGAAGGCTAGAAAGACTTTAGGTTTGGAAGTCTGGAACTACGTATGGGGGCTTGACATAATTTGGCTGTCTAAGCTATTAATAAAATATTAAAGAGAAATGATGCCAGATGTATCGATGAATAGGATGATAGTGTATATAAACAAGCAAGTAAAATTGAACTCTTCTTGCAGGATTCTGGACATATTAGAGAAGTTTCTTATACGCAAAGGTTACTGCTTCTCCAGACTTGATGGTTCAACTCCGACCAATTTGCGCCAATCCCTTGTTGATGACTTCAACTCAAGCCCAAGCAAACAGGTACTTTCAAATAAAATCAAAATTGAAGATTGGGTAGAAGCACATGGACTTATATTGGTTGGATGCATCTTGCATGCTAGGTGTTCCTTATATCAACTCGAGCTGGTGGACTTGGTCTAAATCTTGTTAGTGCAAATCGTGTTGTAATATTTGATCCAAATTGGAATCCTGCCCAAGACCTACAGGCCCAGGATAGGTCATTTCGCTATGGGCAGAAACGGCATGTTGTAGTTTTTCGCCTTCTTGCTGCAGGTTCCCTTGAGGAACTTGTCTATTCCCGTCAGGTGTACAAACAACAGCTTTCTAATATTGCTGTTTCAGGGAAAATGGAAAAACGTTATTTTGAAGGTGTGCAGGTATGGAAAGAATCTCTCTCTCTAAGTTTTCTTCTGTTTCTTGTATTGTATTTTGAAACAGGTTCATATGCAGATATTCATTTAATTTCATCTTTCCAGGACTGCAAGGAATTTCAAGGGGAGCTTTTTGGAATCTGCAATCTGTTCCGTGACCTGTCTGATAAGCTTTTCACCAGTGAGATCATTGAAATGCATGAGAAGGATGGGCAAGAAAAACAGCACTTTCATGATACAACAGGGGATCCAACTGAACGTGGGGCATATCATGTTCCTTTAAAAGAGGCAACTGAAGAGTTTCCAATAAGCTCTGAAGTTGGGAGATCTGATGAGGCAGACATGGCCAAAACAAATAAACCAATGCTTGAAGATATGGGTAAGTTTCATTATCGTGTTATGTCCTTTATGCTCTTCATTGCAGCTTTTGTAGATATATAATATGACTTGAGCAATATTGTGTGGTTCTCTTTTCTAAAACAGTATACTTGGCAGTGTAACTTTTATTTTATGTTCCAAGGACAATGTAACCTTTTTCCACTGTTGAACCAATGAATTTTCTGATCTTTGCACCCATCAGAATGAGAAGTTCATAGAAGTTGGAAAAGATACAGGTTTTCAAATACTTGGACCTTTTTTCTCCCTCATCTATTATACAATTACTTGTCATTCACCTTCTACAATTAGATTACACTAGCACATAGATCTGCCTAGATGAACACCTTGCAGTAAGTAGTGGAGTTAAGCCTGGATAGAATCCTTATCAGATTTCATTATGAATATAATCTGAATAAAACCTTTCTTCACTTGAAAGTCTATTCACCACTAAAACTTCCAATATTTTTAAATGTGATATGTTGATGATCAATATACTGGTAACAGAAGCACCAGCTGTATATGGATAGTAAGGTAAACTGTCTAACCTGTTGTAGAGGGGAAGGAAAAGAAAGTATTTGTGCCTTTTGCCCTTGACTCCTTATTCATTGAATGTAATCTTATTAATCAACTACAAGGTTCAAAATGATATAATTATATAATATAGAATTATGGCAGTGTTTTAAAAGCACAAGGCACAAAAAAAAAATGTGCAAGGGGCAATTTGTGCCCGACGCACAAGGCATAGGGTGAGGCATATGCCTTTTCAAAGCAAGGTGCAAAAATACAAAAAATGGCCAAAAAATTCAAAATTTTCAAAAAAATGCAAAAAATTAAAAATATATATATTATAAACATAATATTAATAAAAATATGAACTTAAATTTCAAAATAAATATTTTAAAAAACCTATTATCTAAAATTAAAATACATAAACACAACATATAAAGCATATTCAAATGAAAATTTAAAAATAAAATCAAACATATAAAACATTTTCAAGCATGTAAAACTCGCAGTGTCCATGTTAGGGTCTTAAATAAGGGTGATCATGGGCCAGGCCGGGCTAGGCTTTGCACTTATGATAAAGGCTATAGCCTAGGCCCAGGGTTCTGGGCCTGAAACATAAGCCTGGACCCAGGTCTACATGGGCCCTGGCCGGGCTGGGCTTGACTCCAGGCCTATGTCTTTCATATATAAAATATTACATATATATATAATATTTTATATTAAATGACATATAACATGCATATAAACTTATTTTGTACATTATATAATATAAAGTAACATGTGTACATATACATACACACATAAACACATACACACACACACACACACACACACACACATATATATATATATACATACATAAAATGCATATGTTTAAATATATGCGGGCCGGGCTGGGCTTGAAGTGTTAGGCCCAGGCCCCACCCTAAAATTTGTGGGCCTGGGCACGTGCCAGGCCTGAACACAAAACCCATGCCCAAGCCCGGAATTTCTGGGCCGGGCCAGGCTGAAATGATCACCCCTACCTTATCATTAAATTCTTAATGCTTACACAAAAAAAATGATTTTATAATTTTAATTGCCTTTTAAGAAGATATCTTACTAGGATGAATGAATGAACAACATTAAAAATCCAAATACTAATTTTAATGGTTTTATTTTTCTTATGAATATTAATTATCAAATAGAAGTTGTTAAAATGTTCATTTTTAATTTAGAGTTTAACAATCCAAATAACTGTGATTCCTTGGTTTTATTAGAAATTTTAATCTCAATGATGCATTATAACTTCACAATACTGGAAAGCTAGCATATCACTGCTAAGTGGCCATTCCTATTTCTTGTTAGCTTGATCACCTATTCACTTATCTCTTTTAGATGATTGCAGATCTACAGTTTCATTTGGAAAAACACTACTTTTTCCTTCCAACTTCTCTCTTGAACCTTGTCTGTGTTTCCTCTGTGATTCATGTTGATAATGTTTGTAAATCTCCCCTTCTCCTTGGCATTGTGTTGTTGAAGATATGAATAGTTACATTGCAAAGTTTATTTCACTTACTGCTAAGGGTTGTGTTTGATCCTCATAATGCAATTGTGCAAATGGTCATGGTTGAGCATTATGGTCTAACTTGGTCGAGTTCAAGCATACTCCTGTGGTCACAGAGTTGGACTGAAGACAAAATGCAGTATTGCTTTCTTCAAGACAAGATCAATATGATTTGCATCCAAGTAAATTTCCATTGCAGTATGTATTTAGGATGATTCCAACACAACCTCTTAGGAGGTGCACTACATGCATGAGTTGTGTGATCTAGATCCTGCAACATGAACTGGAAACAAATTGAAGATTGTCCTCGTCTATTTCTAATAATTGCCTGCAAAATGAATTTACCATTAGCTTATTGGTGAGAGATTGTTCAATGTCTCGTTTTGATTTGATTTTTTTTATTAACCTTTCCTGATATTCTGCCTTATTCTCATAATATCCTTTAATAGTTGAGGATATTTTGATGTAAAAAAAGAATTTCAAGCACCGACTTGAATAATTGCAATTACACACTTTCAGAAATTATTGTAGTAACAGATGAGTTGGTGAAATATTTATTAAATCTTCCAATATTTTATGGTGATTCAATTCAAATCTGGTTCCTCTTATGCAGGTATTGTATATGCTCACCGTAATGAGGATGTTGTCAACTTTGGACCCACACTTCATAGCAAGAATGATGTATGCATTCCGGAGAGTAATATCATGAAGCAACCATGCAACCCCAATTCAGAGAAAAGACATCAGAATGAAACTAAAAAATTCAGTAGTAAAGAAGCTTCTTTGTCTAAGAAGGATCAATTTAGTCTCCTTGCTCAGTTTATGGGCATGGGGGAGCTTGAATTCAGCAAGTGGGTACTATCTGCTTCACCATCTGATCGGGAAAAAGTGCTTCAGGACTTCAAAAAACAAAAATCGAAGATCCATAATGGCTGAACGAAAAATAACTATTGGATCGAGATTTTTTCCTTTGGTGGGAGGTGGATCGGGTGGTCACTATTAGGATGTTCCAACTGCCTATTGTGAAAATACATCAGTCTTAGGTTGGGGGAATGTCACCAATCACCATTGGCTTCTAATTTTCTTTTGTGAAGTGCCCCAATTGCCCAGTCATAGTTCCTGCATTTGGCTGCCCATCCATTGTGCTAGGATGGTTTCCTTCCATTTTAAGCAATTTGTTATATGGATAAAGAGATTGTAGTACATTATTGATTAGAAAAAAGAGAAAAAAATAGAAGCATGTACATAACTAATTTTGTTTCCACATGAAAATAAATGCATCTCATAACCATTTTTTTTTTCTGGTAAACACTGGAAGATTACATCTCATAACCATCAAACATCTGTTACTCATGAAAAGACAACTACCAGAAGCACTGGTTAGCAATTGAAAGTTAATCAGGGAGGATAAATAAATAAAACAATACAAAATTAATCTGTAATAGAAACTGAGCCTTTCGCTACGTTTCTAGAGAGTAAATTCTAAACATATTCTATGCAACCCCCTTCCCCCAAGACAAGCTGTTAACTTTATCTCTGCAACTCAAAAATCTTCACTTTCTTTCATGCCAATTCAAGAGAAATGCAAATGCAGAAAGGAGCCTTGAGTTCAGTTAGTGAATTTCAATAATTCTTGATGACTTTGAAGCCACATTGCTATGTCTAAATGAAAGAAATCAATTTACTGTATATTGCTCTCAAGGATTTATAGTTCACTGAGTTGGTTGTATATCCCACCAGTAGAACCAGAAACTCAAAATCCCTGGACTTCCAAGTTCAAATCCAAACTGACAATAGAGAAAAACGAAAGAAAAATAAATGGCAATTTATGAAACCAGACACCTGAAACATGGAGAAAATTTTGCTCCCGGGAATCCGGGAGGTATTGTGAATCCATACAGGTCAGGCCAACATGGATGAAAAATGGGATTACTGAGCACACGAGTTATTACAATTGACTGTCTGCTGAGGAAATCTATGGATGCAAAGTTGCAAACAGACTCGGGACCTGATACCTTTTATCTACAGATCAGTCATCATTTGCGCCATTTGATGCTCTTGATGAAGCAAAATCATTATGGGTTCCGAATAGAAGAGATGATGATTGAAGATTTTAGATTATTTTCCAACATCCTCTATTAACTTGGCACCATATCCTTGTAAAAATGTCAAAACCTAGTATTTCTTCATGTTTTTCTCTTTGTTTCCTTGGTGAGCATTAATTGTATTTTGATCTTATTCAGGAGAAAATGAAAGGATTGTCTTCCGAAACCTTTTTTATTTTATTTTTTTTTTTGAGAAAGGTCTTCTGAAACAATTCACTTAGGCTGTATTTGGTTTGGTTCTGCTCTAGAGCGTCAACCAGTTACCCCAATCAAGGATGCCAAATTGACAAGTCCCACCACTGGGAGATTAAATGATACAAGGTCAGCTTTTGGGACGGATCTATGTGGAGGTCAGTGGGGGCAATGTGCCACTCAAATAAACAAAAATGGCTTGTATGACACCCGAGTCCCAGGACCCACTTAAAATCTGAAAGTGAAATGAAATAATTAAGTCACATGACTATGTCCTCTTATTTTCTTTCACTATAAGTCTAAGCATATATTACACCGGAGAATTAAAAGGGGTCATTCAAATCATCTGTTCTCTTTTCCAAATCAGGGTTGGAGCAGGTTGCTGGACCATGGAGGAGGAAATCAGGGAGATGAACCAGGTAGAGTCCTTTCTATCTCTATTCATTTTTTAAGGATGCACTTAGTTCTCTTATTCATTTTGGATAGTGATTTGAAAAGGAACATCCATGCATGAATGATGCTCAAATCAGATAATTAAAAAAAGTCATCCAGTTATCCCAACGTTTTCACTCCAAATAAATTTGAACCGCAAAAGAAAAGGAAAAGGCCGAAATATTCTTGTTATTTACAGTCCTCCCTGATTGCCTAGAAACTTATATTTACTCGATATGCATCAAGGATTAAAACTTTATTGTAATGAGAGAAACCAGCGGCAGCTGAGAGCTGAAAAGATCTCATCTCATGCTCTAGCTTCTCTGTAGATGTGAATCTATTTGCTGCAGCGTAAACCCAAACTTGTAATCAAGCAATTACGCCTTGTTTGTTTGCAAATTGCAACTCCCCGTTGTCAAAAATGTTGTTACACCAGAACTTGATGTTCTTTATGTTCATTCACACTGAGTGTCATGTTGGTCCATTTGGTGCGCACTGTAATTACTAAGAGGGTGCAGGCTTGGCAGAAGAGGCCAGATATCAGACCAATCCACAATCCCTGCGCCAAACAAGCACCAATTTATTATTGAAAGCAAATTCTACAGGTAATTGATTCAGATGGTATCAGTTGATTTAAATGGGGAGCTCACCTTGGCATAGAGCTTAAACTTAAAGCCCAGGAGGATGGCTATAGGCATGCCAATAATGTAGAAGGCTCCCAAGTTTGTCCATGCAGCCAAGTGCTGCCACCCACAACCTCTGGATACCCCTGAAAAACAGAAAGTAAGCTTGCAACAATGAATTCAGAGCAGAGAATTAAGGGTTCATTTGGTTTACAGTCGGAATTGGAATCAGAATGGTCTATATTCCCATAATCTGTTTGGTTCAGACAGGAAGCAGAGTGAGAATTGGAATAAGCAGAAATGGGATTTCATTCCCAAGGGAGGGGGAGGTAATGGCCATTCCCTCAAATGGGGGAATGACATTCCACCAGGAATAGGAATTGGATTCTGATTCAATCCAATCAAACGGTTGGAATTCCCGTAAACCAAACAGGCCCTAAATGTAAGCAATCCATCATGGTTTCAAACTATGGGTGCCAGTGCCACTCACCTGATAATACACCCTGTGCTGAATCAAACAATATGGAGATGGCAAGCAAGGGAGTCATAGAAGCAAATTCTTTCTTAATTCCAGGACTATCACTGAAGAAACCAGCCCAGATGTTGTGACCAAAGAGTAGCGCTATGATAACTGTAAGAGCTAGAATGACAGAAAGCTTAAGCGTAACTGCCACGGCATTCTTTGCTCTATCTGCATTTGATGCTCCCAATTCATTTGACACCCTTGTGCTGTCACAGAAAGTCAATTTGATTTCATCATCTGGATAAAACCAGAACAAATATTCGATCGATGTAACAAAAACCCAGACAAGTAAACACAGTTCTCTCATCTGCTGTCATTCCAAAGCTCACCTTACTGCCGCACTGAAACCATAAGTAATCATGAACGAGACAGCTTCTGTGTTCACGCTGCACAGATTAGATAGATTAGAATTCAGATCCTCTGCAAAACTCATCAGATTTACAACAATTAGAAAGTGCAGAAGAAGAAGAAGAAACTGTACCACATGGCTATCAAGGATGTACTATTCTCTGAGTTGGGCATCAATCCCGCCAGCAACACCAGAAGCTCAAAAGCCCAGTACTCCAAACTGATCATATCAGGGGGAAAATGGAAAATGGAAGAAGATTTATAAAAATTTCGCAAGCTAGAAAAGAAGGAAAGATAGATTACAGAACACTGCGTAAGTCAGGCTTATCACTCACCACACCATGAATGCAGAGGGAATCGCCAACTTCATGCCTGGAAGTACGTAGCGGAAGGATTCCATTGAAAGGCCTTCCCAAGTATGCTTGAATCTGTCGGCATGGTTGACATAGAAAGCCAGCATAGCAAACGATATCCAGAGCGATATGGAGGCCGATAATGCCGCTCCCTTGAAACCCAGAGGTGTGAGGTGAACCAGTGCATAGGAGAGGCCGAATTGGATGAGCAGTGGGACCATTGAGCACACAACAAGAGGCATCACCACTGACTGTGTCTGCAGAAATCTGAGGGTGCATTGCAGGAAGCCGTACGCAAACAGACCCGGGATCAAATGCTTCAGATAGAGACCAGCCATTTTTGCTACCTCAGGCTCTTGATGAAGCAGAATCAGTATCTGGTCTGAATAAAACCAGACGACGGATACCAAGACAGAGAAGAGGAAAGAGGTGATGATCGAAGACTGTAGATAAATTCCTAGCATTCTGTATAACTTGGCGCCGTATCCTTGTCCACAGAGAGTTTCAAGAGCCCCACTTAGACCAGTCTGAAAACAACCATGATAGAACGGATTAAAACGTCAGATTTCATCTTCTCATCTTCGTGGGTATAATATTTTGATTCTGTTAACACAATTTAACAGATAAATCCTGATAATTTCAACTTCTATTTCTCCCCACCATTTATTCATGGAAACCCCACGAATGGAATGTGGACACGTTTTTGCTTTTCCTTTTAAACACTGGCGTGTGAGGAGACCAGATCTGCTCCTTACCACTGGCGCCTCACACGCACATCCTACCATTGGGAAGGGAGATGTCCCAATAAACGGTGGATGTGCGTGTGAGGCGCCCATTTGTGAGGAAGGGATCACGTCACGCGTGTGAGGTGTGTCTGGATTGTCCTGTGGCCGTGGTCAGACTCACAGGAACAAACAGTCTATTGGACTAACGTGTCACACGCAGGGAGAGACTGTGGACAGCACTGACTGTCGAACAAAGACAAGCCAATTTTTTTCCTGCACATGCTATTTGCAAACTGCAAGTCGCAACCAAACTAACTCGTTAAACCATATGAAAGCTTTATCAGGATGTGCAGAAGTTGTCTGCCCTATATTCCTCATGTATTCCTATGCTATAAACCCTATATATAACCCCTGTATTCCTCCTTATAGCTCCAACCGAGTTATCTCAGAGAGTCGACTCACCGTGAGGGAACCCTTTAATATTTTATAGCTCGAACCGAGTTACCTCAGAGAGTCGATTCACCGTGAGGGAGGAATACCGTTTGTCGTCTTCAACCTCCCGAGTTTCTTTTCTTTAGTCAAGCTTGGGTTTTAGAGCCAAGAAGCCCTAATTAATCTCGATTCATTCCTATCTCAAACCCCATTGTCAATCACCGGAACTCATCGTCAACCTCACCGGCGGTCACTTGCTTCTGTTCTCGTGCACTTTGTTGTAGTTAAAACGACCAAACCAGCGCCACAAATCACGGTTTCGATCATTGAAAAACGCCACTTCGAACTCTACATCTCCCCCATAAAATATGCTTCGGCTGGAATTTCTTCGTTAATAATCTCGATTCATTCCAATCTCAAACCCCCTTCTCAATCACCGGAACTCATCATCAACCTCACCTGCGGTCACTTGTTTCTGTTCTCGTGCACTTTGCTGCAGTTAAAACGACCAAACCAGTGCCACAAATCACTGTTTCGATCATCGAAAAACGCCACTTCGAACTCTACATCTCCGACATTAAAGTCTGCTTCGGCTGGAATTTCATCCAAATACACTAGATTTGAAGCCTCAGTGAAGACGAAGCATGGCTCTATTCATCGTCCAAGTGCGAATCCAGTTCTTCCTTTAAGGCTCTGAAAGCCTGTACTCGTGCATAATCCAGTTAGTCTTAGTTCCTTTGGGAGCCACGGATCAAAGGAGTCATGGATCCAGTAAAATTTCTTATGATGCGTGGAAGTGGAACTCATAAGTAATCTGTGGCTCATTTCCCTCGCCCTTAAGATTTCGTAGTTTTGGAAAATTGGGTCACTCTAACAGAAGCTCTATTGTGCGTCCGTAAACATTCTCTTTACAATGTTATTTGTTTCCATTTAATTTCATTGAGTTTGTTATTGAGTTACAGGCAAATCTGTTCACAGGATACAATAGAGCCTTAGGCAAGAATCTATAATTAATAAAATTGAAGAATCTCCGAAGAAACCTTCTGTGCGACTGTAGCATACCGAACTAAGAGAGAGAGAAAGTGGATTTCGAAATTGTGTCTTTGAAGTCTGATTCGTGCTCCTTAAATAGTTTATGAAAATGTACGAAGAAAATGTAGGTACTGGTTTAGAAAAGGCATCTTGAACAGTCACAATTTCAAATATTGTAACTATTTAAAAAAAGTTAACAGTAACAATTAATGACTGTTAACTTTGAATTGTGCCTCTTGATCATACCTGATCGAATCGTGACCATTGATTTTATCAACGATGATCAATGGTCAGTACCGCAACAAAACCAAAGTCGCCTTTCGCGAGCCACATGAGTGTGAACAAAATGCACCTCATTACGCACACGCGTGCGCGTGTATTGCACGGTATCAAACCCCATATTCTCCCCTACTATTTCTAAGGAGTCTAAACAAGCTCCTATTAAAATACTTAAAACAAAGCTTATAATTTTCTCATGCGACACAAATTCAAAATTGGGTTTTGTAAGAGAAAAACTAATTTTTTAATCAAGTGTACACCTACAATTTCTCATATCATTGACCAATCAAACCTATTGAATTTAATCCAACACTTGAGCCATAAGAAATCTATCATCTCTGGCTCATTTCAATCGCCGGACATCATTGCTCGTGCATAATCCAGTTCTTCCCAATAAGACGAGACATGCTTCCGTTCTTCCTTTCCTCGGCGATTGGCTGGGTTGATCTCTGTTTCGGAAGCTAGAGGGAGACGGAAGGGGGAGGGAGGAATAAGGAGAACCAAATTGATTATTTTAATTTCTTTTTTTCTTTTTTGAGCCTCGAGCTAACAGGGGTTATATATGAGGTTTGTAGGAGAAGAATACAGGGCAGAGGAAGACGATGAACAGTGTCATTGCCCTTGATATTTTCAAAAAAAATATATTTTATAAAAATATTATTTTTATTGATATTCAGGCAAAAAATTGCCCTTATAAAAACCTTTTTTTTCTCTTATCAAATTCAATTCATTGAAGAATCTATATGAAGTAAACAAAAAAAAAAGATCGAATCAGATCAAAGTATCGAACAGCTAGCTGTAACAGAAATTTAATATAGGACATAGATGCTGTCAGTACGTTCTCAGAGAGAGGGTGGAAGGTACCATGAGAGCTAAACCGGTGACGGTGGCCCAGGAGTTAGCGAGGGTGGAGCCGGCGAGTTCGACGTCACCGAGGTGACCGGCGAACATGACGGAGATGAGGGTGATGCAGTAGTATGAAACGTTGGAAAGGATCATGGGGACGGAGAACGTAATCTGCTTCTTGGCCTCCTCCGCGTCCAACACCTTTCTCCATCCTTTTTTCTTACCGTAACTACTCTCATACTGCAACAGCGGCTCTGTTGTATTTGAACCCATCCTCCTCTCTTCCTCTGATCTTCTCCTCCTCCTACTCTTCTCTGCTCCTCCCCTTCCGTCTTCTCTGCCTCAAGAAGAATTCTTGAGAAGATCAGCTGAGAAGAAGCGACCACTCATTCAATCAGCCAGCGACGTCATTTGTGTTATATAGCAGAGAGAGATGTAAGAAATAATAAGATTTTTTTTTTTATAAATTCATAATTTTGATTTCTTGACCACAAACACAGGAAGCGGTGGAACCTACTCCACTACGTTTCAATTCAACAGCTCGTGATTTTAAATAGGTTGTTAGGTAGTATGGAGATTTTTAATTTGCACGGTCAGGATTCTAAAGTGTAGTAGAAGTTCCAATCCTATGGTGTGCTTTGGAAGTTGCAACAAATTTTAATTCCGTTTCAATCCTCCTATTCGGCTATTCCCAATTCCCCCATGCCATTCATGCTTTTCTTCCGCACACGGTTCTCCATCTCCACGTTGACTTTTTCTAAATGACAAGATTGCCCCTCTTCGCCCACCACATAAACGACAAATCTGGTGTAAAGATAAAAGATTTCTTTCCATTTTTCAAACACCTATTGGGAAAGGGGTAGAATCACTGGACCAATCGGTACTGATGAATGTTGATCTGCTGACTGGGTCTCCTGGATTTAAGGATTTAGAGATTCAGAGGGATCACTCCCGAGCAGGGGCGCGGGATTCCCCATAAGCAAAAACTTTGCATACACTCGAAGCATGGGAATTCAACGCACGTTATCTTTCCATAAATTTAGCATACATGTTATGTAAAGCTCAGTTTGGAAGGAGTAGAGTTTTTGCTTGCAAGAGATCTATGTTGGAGTCAATGTCTGAGATTTGAATTTTTTATTTTTTTTCTTTTTATATACAGGCATGAAAAAATTCGAACTTTTTTAACAATGGCCCCTATTCAAATAAAATAGTAGGGGGTCAAATAAAATTTGGGTTCTTAAATAGGGTCTTTTTTCTTTTTTTTTAATTTTCATGATTTTAAAAGGCCTAAGAGGCAAGGCCAATGGCCAAAGCTAGAGGCATGTATTTGACTGCCATAAGTGTTTATACATGGACAAAATAGGAGTTTTAGATAATTAAACAAAAGTAAGTTAAAGGCGTGATTTGGTTGCTTCATGGAACTTGTGCATGAGCTTGAGAGTTGAGAGTTCTTAAGACCATATATAAGACTTCTTGTGAAAGCCATATTTCTGGTGATGGTTTGCTAGAGAAGAACAGTAGGAAGAATATTATGACTAAGTTAGGTCTGCTTATTAGAATTTTATACAATGGGAAATAAGAAGAAAGGAAGGGGGAAAAATGCATGAAAAGAATCATGAGGGAGAAATCTTCCTCTTGCATCAAGAAATTAAGACTAGATAGTTGAAGTCCCACAGGCCATGATAATGCGATTAAGTCATCATCGAAAATTTGACCTTTGTTTGCTAACCAGTCTGCAATGCAGTTTCCTTCAATTCCCATTCCCTAGGAGTATGCATGATTGTAGTAGATCCCTACTCCCTACCGGCCTCTCGGTTGTGAACCATTTGTTTGCGGTCTTCAACAAGTACTGAAAGGCACGTCCAAATTAAGCACTTTAGCCCTTCCCTAAAGAAATTTGATGACTACCAACAAGTCACCTTCTAGTCTGAGTCTGCCAATAGTCTTGATCCACTATCCTCCATACTTGAGTTGTAACTTGACATTTTGCTAGGATGTGATCTCTATCTTCCATCTGAGCATAGAATATAATTAATGGACAACTAAGGTTGATGTTTAGTCCTCTTTTTACAAGAACTTTTCAAGATCGGCTTCAGTCAGTACAAGATCCGTTCAAACAGTCTTTACAGCCTTGCATCGGGAACAGCCTTGGATGAAAAGCCATAAGATTACTTTTTTTCTCAGCATAAAGGATGTTTCAATAACAATTTATGATAATGCCTACCCCTACTAATCGAAGGCCCGGGATCTGCCACTGTTTGGGTTCCCGGCCGGTGTCTTACTTGAGGGTAACTCCATCCAAATTAGTTGGTCATTGGACTAATACCAAAGGCCTCACAGCGTCAGTCATCAAGCGTATATGTCCTATAGCTATAAGCACCCCAATCTCTTACTTTTAGGCTGTATTTGGCGTTTGAAGGAAAAAGTAGGGAAAGGTAAGGAAATTTTTACAAAACTTGTATAAATTTCCTACCTATTCCTTCAAACCAAACATACCACTATATGTGATATATAATATTTAGATTTAATTTTTATAATTTACATAAAAATCAAAACAAATATCTTCTTTGTGTATTATAAATAAATAGATATAGATAGATGCAATCTAATCGAATGCAGATTTGCACACCCTATCAAATGCAACTAACCCCAATTCGATTTAAAGAGTCTAAGTTCAAGTGTAGAAAACTCGTAACAACAATAAATGCAAGAGTTCGCATCTCCGCCCCACAAACGCCCCACACACCAACGTGTGACTGCCATATGTCTAATTGCATGCAGTGGGGTGTTCTCGCGTGTGGGACTAATGGGACGGCCGTCAATTTGTTCTATTAGTCCCAAAATAAGCCCAAATTTCCTCTCTTATACAACGTTTTAAAAAATGACTCAGAAATGGAATCGTTTTGGACACTGGTTTTCGGGTTGATGGTCTGATCATTCGATTCAAACAGATGGTCCATTTTGACAAATAAATTAAAATAATTAAAAATAAAAAACGGTCAAAAAATTATTGAATGGGTCGATGGTTTGACTGCCCGGGTCAACATGTTGTTGACTTTTTCGATGGTTTTTGGCCAAATATCGAATTTGGGGTAAAACGGAACTTATTGCCTGGACAGTTCCCGGGCCAAACGGTCCGATCGTCCAGGCAACGACTTTTGTTTTACCCCAAACCCAATATTTGGCCAAAAACTGTTGAAAAGGTCAATAACACGTTGACTCGAGGCGGTCAAACCGTCGACCCTTTCAACGATTTTTTACCATTTTAATTTTTAATTTATTTGTTCTTTTCGAATCGAATAGTCAGACCATCGATCTAAAAACCAGTGTCCAAAACAGTTCTATTTCCAGGTCATTTTTTAAAATATCGTATAGAAGAAAAAAAGTTTGAACTCGTTTTAGACTAACGGGACGAACTAACGGTCATCCCATTAGCCCTACACACAGGAACACCCCACTGCAGACAGGCGGTGGGGCGGAGATGCAAACTCTAAATGCAATGCCCGTGACCCCGTAGCTGAGATGATCACTTGTCATCCTCCCACTGGTATAAAGAGGTGAGAGATGTAGAGTGGAAAGGAACAAGTTGAGAAAGTATTTTGTTTTGAAGCTCCATGATCAAAAACCCATGTAATCAAGAAATCGAGTTTAACTATGCATTCAGAACATTTCCATATTTATATTTTAACAAAATCCAAATCCCACATGACCACTTAGTTGTGTGAGTCTGAGCTCGTGACCCTACCTTCACTATCTCTTACCCAAAATATAAATACATCAACAATATAATAATGACAGCAATAAATGCAAATTAATAGCACGCGGTTCCCGCGTCTTACTGGTGGCCCAGAAGACTAATCCCGATCTGCTGCGTGCAAATTGTGCATTTTATATTGTGCACTGCGTTTTGTGCCCAGCAGTTCCGCGCTGCAATAACTACAACCTTTGCTTAATTTTGAAATCTGGGGTTTTAAAATTCAGTTTAAAAAAAGTATAAATACAAATGTATACAGTATAAATATATACAAAATAATATAATATACAAGCTTTTGCACTCCATCTATTTATCTTTGTATTCTTTTCATGGAGCCTAAAGAATTTTGAAATTTTCTTTAGAAGTGAGTCCAAAGATCAAAAATCCAAAAGGCTAACGTATGTATACATGTACATGTTCGGATTGGAGTGTAAACGCACAAAATTCTGGCTCGTGCACGTAAGTTTGAAAAGAACAAAAAAAAACTCTATATAAAGTCAATGATTGAGCGATTCAATGCAAAACGAGGAAATAGACTAATAGTGAGAGAGATGGTCTCCAAATTTCTTGATGAACAGCTTTTGAATTTGTCCTCTGAAAGCGGCAATTTTTGTTCTCATTTGTATCCATCCCCATTAATATGCAGGCAAAAGTCAAAAATCAAAATCTTTTGGTGCCGTGTGGGGGAGATGTTAAACAATGGACCACTACTATCTATATCTACGTTAATGTGTTCAAATTGGAATTTTTTAATCAATTCTAGTTAGGTGTTGTTGTTTGAGACTCTGAGGGGAGGTAAGAGAATTTAACTGCACAGATTTGATTCCATCTCCTTCCAGTCAAGGCATTAATTTGCTAGGTTTAAGATGTCAACTTCATAAATTTCCTACTGCCTAATTGTTTGAACATAAATTAATACAAGTGATATTTTTGTCTAGAGTTAATTTCTCTTGTTATGAACATCAAAACCAATAAAAAATGTCAAAATTCATAAATAAAAAACATAAGCTACAATATCAAAAAGGTGAAATCAAGGTTCAAAATATCATAATATATCAACGTGTCACATATATCGATTGATAAGTATCGATTTTCATGTAAATTCCATATCAAGAGTATCCATACTTTGAACCTTGGATGAAATCATATAAAATTTTTGCTTAGTTATTCATTTGGTTCATTTATTATATTTTGAGATAAATATAAGTAATGGGAATCCATTACTTTTCTTATCAAATGACAAAAGGGTTTTACACTTCTTTTAATCCCTTTATCATCATATTGGATATTGAATTTTTTCGTACATATTACCAAAAAAAGGATTGTCATGAAATTGTGTGGCCACCAAGAAATAGGGGAAAACGATTGCCTTAATTTTTTTTTTCTCCTTTTCTGTGTGGATAGACTTTATCTCTTGATTCGGATGAAGTCTACCCATGACGTCTGATGCCTTGCGACTTAAACCATATTATGTTAACTCTAGGCAGCATTTTTAGGACCATTGTAACCCTATTAATTAGCTTGAGGAGAACGTCCAAGGTTTAGGGGCCTTTAATAAAATCTAAAGATACTGAACCGAAAATCTTTGTTGCTTTTGTCTTTTAGTGAATAAATTTTATAGGAGATTGTAAGTTTTTTAATGGTCGAAACTGGAAACTAAGGTTAACATTAAGAGGGTATTTGGTAGTGTGAATATAGGACTATTTTCCATCCATATAAAATGTAGCATTTTG